ATTATTACATTATATATATATATATATATATATATATATAATATTATATTATTATATAATAGTATAATATAATAACGTAATAATTATATTATTGTATATATAACAATATAAAATTTATTTAGAAATCATGCACAATCGCTCGCAAATTCCATTTAAAATCTCAAATACCCCGTATCTCGATTTCGCTCAACTTTTACTGACGCTAATTCGGCAATGCTTGCGCCAACAAAATCGTTCTCTCTATTACGAAATAGTCGAGCGGCGCTAGAATCCTTGAACCTTTTCTTTTCCACGGATCAGCCTTAGACGAGGCTGCTGCTGCACCAGTTCTCGGCTCGGAGGCGGCCTCACAATACCGAGAGGAACAAGGCGCGGCGGCACGAGATCGGCCCGATCGAATCGCGCGGCGAGTTGCGGGCGAGTGTCCAACTTTCACTGACAACTCGTTAGGCTCGCCGCTGGCCGTGGTTTCGAATCATTCACAGTCATTCCACGACGTCGGCAGGCCGCGGCAGCGTCGGCGAATTCGCCCGTCGTAGACGTACAAAACGTCAGACTCGCGCGCGCGCGACGTTCCACACGATTCAACGCGAACCGCACCGCGAATCGGTGGCCCCGATCGTCTCCATTAAAACCTCGTGCAACTATTATCAGCTTTGTGCGACCGTGTGTCTCCGTGATTGTGACAGTGATCTCCGTCTTGCCGAGCGATCGACGGTGTTCGCCATAGCAAGTGAGAAATATAGATTAACGCGCGCCGATTTTTCTTTCTTTCTTTATCGAGAAAGAAGAAATATCCGATTTTATTTTTATTCTTGAGAAAAAGCCGAAAGAAGACGAATTTCTGATATTATCGTGTGCACGGGCTGTTCCACGCATTCCTCGAAAGTAAAAGGAAGCTGCTCTGCTCGTTCGGAGTAGGCCGAAGAAAGTGGAAGCGAACGGAAAGCGAGAGTACTGCCAGGCGGCTGTAACATCTTCCCATCGGAAAGCGGCGAGTCTGTTTGGTCTCTGCGAGTGCAGTGCACCTTCGATGCTTCTCACGAGTACGTATTGTTCCGTTCCCGCGTAACCGTTGTTTACGGATCCGACCGAAAAATTGGGTTAACGTGTTGCGCGTACCGCGGCCGTTCCGTAATAACGCGCGCCCGCGCCCATCACGAAACTTTGCGTAATTAACAACAAGTTCTTCCGGCGGAATCGAGTCGCGGAGCACGAAGCTGAAGGAAAGTGAATTACGGGCACAGTAATCGGGTCCGATGCAATTTAGAAGGAAGACGGCAGCTGTTTGTGTTTCCTTGGATTTCGGGAATAAGTGCTCGATGGTAGACGTTGAACGGAATATTATTTATACTGTAATGTCTCCCTTACTGACGCTCGAATTACAGTGATGTCTCCCTTACTGACGCACGAGTTACAGTATTGTCTCCCTAATTGACACTCGGATTGTCTACGAAAATGGACAATTTGGGAAGAGGAGATGCGATTATTCGAGCCTCGCGAGACTCGTTTTCATATAATATAATTATATTATATAATTTTATATAATATATAATTATTAATAATTAAGTAATAATATAATTATTTTATATAATATTAATTATTATATAATTTTATATAATATAATTTTACCGATTTTCAATCATTACAAACAAGGCTCGAACAATCGAAACTGCTCTTCACAAAATTGTCCAGTTTTGGAGACAATCTCGGCGTCAATTAGGGAGACATTACTGTAGTCCGTGCGATGTAGGAGTTACGACGGATTTTATTCGACTATAGTGCGCGTACGTCGTTTTTCCATCATGCCAGTGGATCGAGTTGACATAATTTATTAGGAAAGTGAATTACGGGCGCAGTAAACGGGTCCAATGCGATTCAAAAAATACGGCAGCTGTTTGTTTCCTTGGATTTCGGGAATAAGTGCTAACGGAATATTATTTTTACAGTAATGTCTCCCTTACTGACGCTCGACATACAGTAATGTCTACCTAATTGACGCTCGGATTGTCCACGAAACTGGACGATTTGGGAAGAGGAGATGCGATTATTCGAGCCTCGCGAGACTCATTTTCATACAATATTATTATATTATATAATTTTATATAATATATAATTATTAATAATTAAATAATAATATAATTATTTTATACGATATTAATTATTATATAATTTTATATAATATAATTTTACCGATTTTCAACAATTATAAAAATCGAGTCGCAAGGCTCGAACAATCGTATCTGCTCTTCCCAAAATTGACCAGTTTTGGAGACAATCTCGGCGTCAATTAGGGAGACATTACTGTAGTCTGTGCGATGTAGAAGTTACGACGGATTTTATTCGACTATAGTGCGCGTACGTCGTCTTTCCATCATGCCAGTGGATCGAGTAGATCGTTGACATAATTTATTTGGAAAGGATTTTCTGAAGATCGACGTCGAATATAAAATTACTTTTCTTTTTTTCTTGTCAAGGATTTCGTAGTCATTAATAGCGATGTCGAAATTGTGGGAAATTTCGTTGCATCGTGCCTTTTACTATGTTCGGTGGAGCTCGTTATAAGTGGATAGGCATCCGCAGTGTGCTGATTGCGCGTAACAGATGACGAGAATTGCGGATGTTTATGCAAGCTCAGATCTTTGCAGACGATTTTCGTGGAAGCAGAGCTCTCGAAGGTTTCTTCTCCGCACTGATTAGAATGTAATTGTTAATTCGGTGTCGTCGGTTTTTAATAGTTCTTCGGTTTGTACTGTTCTTTGAAAATCTTCAGAATTATAAAAGTGATCGATGAACAATAAAATTATGTTTTGCTCGGCTTTCGAGGAAGCGCTTTTCTTGGATGAATAATTCTTTGTCAAATGTTAAAGTAACATTCAATATAAAAATTGATATGCTATGCTGAAGTATGCTAAATTAGACAATTGATTGGAAACTCTACTTTTTATATTGTTTATAACCCATACAAGTGGTTGATACGACAACGCATAACAAATATTATGTCATTTAAAATTATTACACTTATAAGTGTGTATAATCACATTTATATATATATATATAATATATTATATATTATATATTATATATTATATATTATATATTATATATTATATATTATATATTATATATTATATATTATTTATTATATATTATATATTATATATTATATATTATGTATTACATATTATTATTATATTTATTATTATATTTGCTGTGTTTATTTGCTGTGTTTATTTCTTGCTAAATTGAGCAGTGAAGTTCGTCTTTATCGATCACGTTCGAAGAAACTTGACAATCAAACTCTAGTACTGTTTATTAAGCATTAAGTAATTAATTTTAAGTAAATCGAAGCTTCTTAGGATCCATAAAATGCAAGAAAGTCACAATGCAATACTTGTTATTACATCACGAAATAAATTGTCCTAATTTCGTGTGATATTATATTATATTATAGGTATACAGAAGCAAACGTATCAATTGCAATTAAAGAAAATTCAATCGACTTTTGCTTTCCATTAAGAATTTAATGAAAATCCATTCGTACGTAAACACGAGAAACTGGCGCGACACACGTGTTACACTCGACATTTGAAATAATTGGACAATTACGTGTAGAATGTTTATGCTAAAAGCCGCGTTTGAGATAATTGCCTAACCTTCGACACAGTCTTCCACGGAATCATTAGTATTACAAGCGTTAAATCTAAATTTCGCTTTCTCGATGATATAAACAATATTTCTCCTTGCTTTCGATGATATGAAAAAATGTGTAAAACGAGCGAATATTGTTTACGAAAGGGCAAACGTTATGACAGAGACGGTAAATTTTTCTGGTGGTTGTACTTTTTGTGATAATAATTTAATTTTTCGTGTAACATTTTTTTTTCGTGTAACGTTGTGATCAGGGCCTATACAATGATTTATTATATAAACTATCACGTGACCTTGGTTAAAAAAAGATTAAGCCTCGATGATTTTAAAATAGCGAAAAATTTAAGCAAGAGGCAAACTTTTCGTTTATATCAAAATTAAGTATTTTAGACCAAAGAATGTTTACCGTTTACATTTTCTCACATTGCCAAAATCACAGAAAAATAAAACAAAGTTAAATAAATTAAAATTATGTCTATTAAACTAAAGAATATTTTCCGTTGATATTTTCTTACATTGCCAAAATCAAAGAAACATGAAACATAGTTAAATAAATTAGAATTAAGTTTGTTAAACCAAAGAATGTTTTTTGTTGATATTTTTTCACATTGTCGAAATCAAAGAAAAATAAAACAAAGTAAAATAAATTAAAATGGAGCCTTTTAAACCAAAGAATGTTTTCCATTGACACTTTTTCACATTGTCGAAATCAAAGAAAAATAAAACAAAGTAAAATTAATTCAAATTAAGTCTTTCAAACCAAAGAATATATTCCGTCGACATATTCTCACCAAAATCAAAGTAAAGCAAAACAAAGCAAAACAAACTAAAATAAATAAAAATATTCGAAGTAACCAGCCAGTCTCGTTCATCCATTATTCGGTAGATCATTACGACTAGTTTCTCAGAAAAAAAACGCTTCGGAGAACAATGAAACGTTATTCAAGGTAACGACGTTTCGTCGACGAAACGTTCGCGCTCGTCGATCTACGGCCCATCTGTCGCGCCTAATTTAAACGGAATAGTGACGCGGCATACGCAAATTGCACGATTTGCGATTCCGTTGATTAACGTATCGATGCGTGTAGGTATAAAGCCGGCGGCGCAAGTCGAGAATTAAAGTTCAAAAGCCAGATCCAGTCCCCGCGTGCCGATCCGGTCTTGGAATCGGCCAGGAGGCCCGCAGTGAATCGAGGATCTTCGATCGGAGCAGACACGAGAGAGAGGAGGCGCGGGCAAGTGTCGCGCGAGTCTTGGTCACACCGGCCGGAGGCTGCCAAGGACGCTAGTATGGTCATGGACACGAGCACGGTCCGTCTGGTGATATTCCTAGGGATGTTCCTGGTGTTCGCCACGGATTACAACTATCTGGTCTCGACGATATTCGGCAGGCCCGCCGAGCAGAATCTCACCGAGCCGGCGAAGGGCCCGGTCGGGCCGCCGATCAAGTCGCCTCTTCCCAACGTAGTCCCCAAAAAGGACAACGGAAAGGAGACCGGTAAGAGAAACGTGCCACTAACCGGCTTCGCTCTATGTGCTCTAACATTTGTGTCGCGGGACACGGTAATGTCTCCCTAATTGACGCTCGGATCGTGCACGAAAATGGACAATTTGGGGGAACAGAGATACGATTTTTATACGAGCCTTGCAGCTCGTTATGAAGAACATTGGGATATAATATTGGCAATATAAAATATTAGGATTGGAACTAATTATTTCAATTAGTTCCAATTAAATGATCGAAATGCAAGTTCTTGTTATAATTTCTAGTGCACGCGAGGACTTGCATTTTAAATGTTTATACAGCAATGTCTCCATAATTGACGCTCGGATCGTGCACGAAAAAAGGCAATTTGGGGGAAAGGAGATACGATTTTTATTCGAGCCTCGCAGCTCGTTATGAAGAATATTGAGATATAATATTGGGAATGTAAAATATTAAGATTGGTACTAATTGTTTTAATTAGTGAGCCTGAGGGAAATAATATGCGGTCGTTTAAATGTTAAAAATAACACGGTTAAATTTAACAAGTATGAACACGTTGTTTTAACTTTAACATTTGCATCGAGCGTGTTTTTTTATCGAATATTTTTATATTAAAATGGCCTGTTTACCATCATGATCGACTTAAATACTCGTAAACAAACAATTTGTTGGTCGTGGCGCTGTTTACTAATTGTTGTTTTATCAATCGCGTGATCATCGTACGCTACTTTGTCGGTGATTTATGCGAGCGTGCTCGTGAACGCCGTTCATTTAGCATACTTTCAACGTGATCCTTACGTAATCATACGACAATGTGCCACTGGCGTGATCAACGGGTATTTCCGGGTGCCTCGGCGGATCATTTGTAACGGAAAATATTAATAAATTTACGTTAAATACGTTCGATGAAGAATCTAATGGCCTGCGTTTAATTACACGCGCGAGTATACTTATGACGAGAAGGAAAAATGTGCGGCGAAGAATGTAAATATGATTCATATATTAATCTGGAATAAATTACCAACGCATATATATACAGGATGTCCTAAAATTATGGTATTTCCGGAAAATGAAGGGTTCCTGAGGTGATTTGTAGCAACTTTTTCCTTTGCGAAAATGTTCTACGAGGCTTCGTTCACGAGTTATTAACGAAAGACGCCTGATAAATGAGAGGCGAGCTCGACTGGCGCTAGGTAGTCGATCCAATCAGCGGAGCTGGGCGTCGCGCGCTCGTTGACTGAGCCGCCTAGCGTCAACCGAGCTCGCCTCTTATTGGCCAGTGTTTCTTCGTTTAATGACTCGTGAACGAAGCTTCGGAGAAAATTTTTGTAGAGGAAAAAGTTGCTTCGAATGGCCTCAGGAATCTCAAGTTTACCGGAAGGACCATAATTTTGGGACACTCTGTAATATATGAATATTGCAATATATATGCATATTGCGTTCCGAAGCATTCTGAGCACTAGGCAACGATTCAAATAAGGCAATTAATTCAAATACTCCATTTATTTCTCGATAATTTAACCCCAATAAAAATTTTAGCAATTTCTGATAATATTTCTTCATTTAAAGATTGCTTCTCAAAATTACCAACGTACATTTCAACAACACTTCCAACAGTTTCTTCAATATCGTTCAATTATTTCATGGAATTATAATCAATATTATTCCAATTATCTCCATGTTTTCCATGTCGTTGTTCATTTAATAGTATGATATACCAATTACATTCAATTTAACGAGAGCATTTCGTTTGCAGCAAGTTTATTCGAAAATTCAGTAAACACAACAGATATTAATAAACATTAAAGATATCGTAAAAGTATTTATGAAACGCGTGTTTCACAAAGCATGCTAATTTAACATATGAACAACAATAAGATCTGCACATGCGATTAAAAAAAAAAGAATTAATATCTGTCCTTTCATTCGACGAACCAGTCACAGTAACTCCTCAATAATATCGCGAATAATCAGTTCGAAATGAAGAAGTCGAGAAACTCGGAAACAGTGAAACTGAAAAAGTCGAGGCGCGCGAACATAATCGAAGAAGGCTCGAGAATCGAGCTGTAGAATCAATCGCGAACGATTCCGATCGACTGTATCAGGATCGGTTCGCGGGGAACAGCCTGTTAGTATCGGCGGGCTGACCTCGGGAAACCAGTTCGTTCAGCTAGAAAATGCATTTCGAAAGCCGCGGACCGGCTCTCCGGTGTCCAACAACAGCGTGGCAGCCTCTCGGCGTCCTCGTCCGCGCGCGAGTCAGGGCTTCGCGCGTGCACAACGCGCGTTGCATCCATTATCTCTGTCCCTGGCCGTCTCTGAAATCGAGTTTCGCTGTCGTGGAAAATCGTCGCGTGACGGCCGCAGAAGCCGTGCCAGCCTCCTCCGATTTTTTCCGCGAGCAGACCCGCAACTTCGGCTCCGTTTTTCGGACAGCATCCACGAGCACTTTCGTCGCCGTCCTTCGGACTTCCACGGCGAACAGGTCCGACTAGTTTTGCCCTTTTTCTGCCACGATCGCGGAGTTTACACCAACGCGCGTCGCGTTACAGTAATGTCTCCCTTGCTGACGCTCAAAATAAAATAATGTCTCCCTTACTGACGTTCAGATTACAGTAATGTCTCCCTTACTGACCTTCAGATTACAGTAATGTCTCCCTTACTGACGCTCAAATTACAGTAATGTCTCCCTTACTGACGCTCAAATTACAGTAATGTCTCCCTTACTGACGCTCAAATTACAGTAATGTTTCCCTTACTGACGCTCGAATTACAGTAATGTCTCCCTTACTGACGTTGAGATTACAGTAATGTCTCCTCTGCTGACGCTCAAAATAAAATAATATCTCCCTTACTGACGCTCAAAATAAAATAATGTCTCCCTTACTGACGCTCAAATTACAGTAATGTTTCCCTTACTGACGCTCGAATTACAGTAATGTCTCCCTTACTGACGTTGAGATTACAGTAATGTCTCCTCTGCTGACGCTCAAAATAAAATAATATCTCCCTTACTGACGCTCAAAATAAAATAATGTCTCCCTTACTGACGCTCAAATTACAGTAATCTCTCCCTTACTGACGCTCAAAATAAAATAATGTCTCCCTTAATGACGCTCAAATTACAGTAATGTTTCCCTTACTGACGTTCAGATTGCAGTAATGTCTCCCTTACTGACGCTCGAGTTACAGTAATGTCTCCCTTACTGACGCTGAAATTATGCAGAAAAATGGACAATCTGGGAACAGGAGATACGATTATCCGAGCCTTGCGGCTCGTTTCTATAATTATCGATAACCATAAAAAACGAGCCACAAGGCTCGAATAATCGTATCTCCTTTCCCTAAATTGTCCATTTTTGTGGACAATCTGAGCGCTAATTAGAGAGAAATTACTGTATTTTCCTGTGCAAAAGCGTTTTAGTTCCAGCAGAGTGTTTTCAACGTCGCAAATATCGTTCGGAAATCATTCGGAAAAAAGTTTTACGGAAATCCAGTTAGCTGCGGCAATATTTTGTGTTGCGACGAGCGAACTCGTCAAAAACAGCTGACTGGTGGCAAACATTGTGAATGTAGATTCTGCTTTGCCAGAGGATTCCTTGCGATATTTTAAGGGAGACTGTTAATAAATTCATGAGACTCGATAAGGTAGAGATATCTTCGTAGCCAGTTCGAACGGAACGTTCTTGGCACCAGTTTAGAGACGCGAACGGATTAATTATCTCCTTAAGCGTGTAGCACGTGTCAGCGCACGAACTACTGTCACTCGCTAATGACACGCTCAGGGAGTGGCACGTATGCAGCTCTGTCTGTTTTTTACATTTAGCTTCTCCGCTGTCCTCGGGTAAAGAAAGCCATTATTTCAATTTCGTTGCTTTCTTCGTCTTGGAACTAATTAGCCCGATAATTAGCGAAGATAAATATCTTCCAGACAAATTTTACTATTTTTTACTCGTTACACGAGAGGCTAAAATAACGCACGTATTGTATAAAATTTCGTATAAAATATTCGGAGAATTCTAAATATTTCATACTTTCAGAGATTTTTAAATATTCGGAGAATTCTAAATATTTCATACTTTCAGAGATTTCTAAATATTCAGAGAATTCGAAATATTTCATATATTCAGAGATTTCTAAATATTCAGAGAATTCTAAATATTTCATATTTTCAGGGATTTCTAAATATTCAGAGAATTCCAGATATTTCTAAATATTCAGAGAATTCTAAATATTTCATATTTTCAGACATTTCTAAATATATTCGGAGAATTCTAAATATTTCATACTTTCAGAGATCTCTAAATATTCAAAGAATTCTAAATATTTCTAAATATTCAGAGAATTCTAAATATTTCATATTTTCAGAGATTTCTAAATATCCAGAGAATCGCTCTAAGCGATTCGTTCGAATTGTTCGTGATTAGAATTTCTTAAATTGACCTTTTCGATGTTTTGATATTTAAAAAAAGCGGTTAGTTTTCTTTGTTACACAGATGTGCACTAATAAATATATTAAGGAGGGATATAAAAAGTCTATCAACAACAAAGATGAAAACGTTTTCTCAAGCACAAAAATTAGAAATATTTAATTTAATTAATTATGCCCGCGGTTGGACGTTCAATTAATCTTATCGTCAGACTCAAGAACCTTAAATAATCTAGATAACACAACTCTCGGGCTAATCTGTATCGTAAATTCCACAAAAATTAGATAATAAATATCACGATTGAGTTTATCTTATCATCTTAACCCTTTGCACTCGGATGTGGCCGATGCAACGACACAATACATTCACGTAAAAGCTGCATCACTTTTCAATTATTACATTCCTTCGTACTGCAATGTAATCGCGTGAAATGCATAAAATAAAAACATAAAATATTTTATTCGTCAGTTTGCAAAATCTGTTCCGAGTGCAAAGGGTTAATCTTCGTAAGCAGACTATCGTAAGAAACAAAAGCTTACAGTTAATATACTATAATATAATATATATAAAATAGAAATATAATATAGTAATGTGATATAATATGCAGGGTGTCCCGAAAATGTCTCGCAATCCGGAAATGGGAGGTTCCTGAGATCATTCGAAGCAACTTTTTCCTTTGCGAAAATTTTCTCCGCGGCTTCGTTTACGAGTTATTAACGAAAAACACTGACCAATAAGAGGCGAGCTCGGCTGGCGCGCGGCGGCCCAGCCAACGAGTGCGCGGAGCCCAGTTCCGCTCATAGGCCCGGCCGTCTCGCGCCAAATGATCTCGCCTCTGATTGGTCGTTGTTTTTCGTTAATTTTCGTAAACGAAGCCGCGGATTGCATTTTCGCTGAGGAAAAAGTTGCTTCAAATCACCCCAGGAATCCCCTACTTTCCGATTGCGTGACATTTTTGGGACACCCTGCGTATATGAAAAGTTAATATACGAGTTTCTGAATTAATTTGCAGCATTGTCGCGACGCGCCCGAATGATGGCGACGATCAAGACCGCTTGTCTGCCGAAACTGATATGCGAGCTGACCTCTTCCGTTCATCAGGATCAGCTGAGCGAGATGGAGAGGTCATTGCTGAACTTGATCAGGTATGATTCACCCACGATTCTCCTAATTCCTCTTTCATCGACATCGTGCGATAGAACTTCGAATAATACACAATTCCTGGGAAGCGAAGTGTTCGCGAGCAACGTTCCTGTTGACTCGTCAACATTTCCTTAGATGTTGCGGTACTTCGAACGGTTAGTCCCTGTTAACTGACTCGGCATACACATTAGCCGGACTTCGCTGAAAAGCATGCGCACGCTGTTTGTTCCGGCAATCGTTTAAAAACATGCTGCGCGACGCGTACAGAAAACGATTATTACGTGACATTACGCTGTCTAAAAATTCACGCTTCGTTTCCGTGCGTTCATTCTTGAAGATCTTGATTCGCTTATTTTGTTAAAACGAGGACGATGAATTAAGCACCTTAATTGAGCAAATTATCATCAAAATATTTCTATTCAACGAGTTCTATTACCTTAGAATTGACGATTAAGTTCTAATAACGATTAAGGATAAATTAGCTTCTATTACCTATATAATAGGTAAATTATAGGTAAATATAGTTCATAATAGGTAAATAGGTTATAAAATATTTCTATTCAACGAGTTCTATTACCTTAGAATGAACGATTAAAGTTAAATTAGTTTCTATTACCTATATACAGTAATGTCTCTCTAATTGACCCTCAGATTGTCTCTCTAATTGACGCTCAGAGATGGACAATTTGTGAAGAGGAGATGCGATTACTCGAGCTTCGCGGTACGTTTTTATAGTCACGAATAGTCAACGATTATAAAAACGAGCATCAAGGCTCGAATAATCGTATCCCCACTTCCCGAATTGTCCAGTTTTGTGAGCGTCCATTAGGGAGACAATCTGAGCGTCAGTAAGGGAGACATTACTGCAATAGATAAATTACAGATAAATATAGTATATAACAGGTAAATAGGTTATAAAAAAAGTCTCCGTTCAACGAGGGTTCTCTCGCTTTTCATGTTTCCAAGCATCCAAACTATTTTTCTGCAGCTTTCGCAAAATTCTTGCGCGCCCCTTTGCGAGAAAAAAGCAGATTCGAAGCAGAAGGATACAACGAACGATTAGATCAGTGGCGCCTGATTGGATCAGTCTAATTCTCGGTCGTGAATTCGACGTAAAAGTACGTTTTCACCGCTTTCCATCGCCAACGACTTCGTTTCGCCGTAACTGGAAAGAATCGACAGGTGCTTCGGTTTTTACCGCGAGCGGCGGCGATGGGGGGGGGGGGTTGAGGGGGCACTTTAAAATTTCAACTAAGACATTTCCCGGACGGCAACAAAAGCCGTGGGCAATTACATACACCGTTAAACCGTTTACGACGCGTTCGACGTCGAATGATCGACGACGACACCAGACATACCGAAGCCCGCGATGATCGAGCAATTTCGCATTCGAAGTTTTACGGCGCGATCCGAGGCGCTCGTAGAGCACGCGCGCTTTCATCGCTCGGACCCTGACTCGCTCGCCACTTTCACTTTCCACTTTCGTTCGTCGTTGTTGGCCAGCGACACACGCTCGAAACCGGGCGGATGCGATCTCGCTCGCGGGACGACGCGCCAGGAAACGCGCGTCCGAGGAAACGTACTTACGTCACTGGCGAACGATGCGCACTCGGCTATCGCTTCGTAGTTTTCTTGCAATCGCATGAAATTGGTTTTAAATACTATATAGTATTTATATATAGTATTATAGTAATATAGTATTTATTTATTAACTGTACTTTTTTTGGAAGGTACAATAAATTTTCTCCAATTTTCCCTCCAGCTTGTTAACAAAAATGGACAATTTGAGAAGAGGAGCTCGTTCTTTTTATGCTTACCGATCGTCAATAAATATAAAAACGAGCTGCAAGGTTCGAACAATCGTATCTCCTCTACCCAAATTGTCCTCGTAATTGTCCCCAATTGTTTCGTGCACAATCCGAGCGTCAATTAGGGAGACATTACTGTACAGGGAAATANGTCCGATCTTTATGTACAGTGACGTAGCAGTCGGAGATCGAGTCTTTGCAGTCTAGGGGCGACATCAAGTCGTCATTAAAAATCGTTGTATCACGTTTCGAAATCATTTTAACGTTATCGATTTGGTTTATATTTGAAATAGAAACTGTTAAAAATACTAATATTGTACTAGACAATAGACACAATTTCGTGCGCATAAAATATACTAAATCGTATCAAAAGGAAATATAGTAATGTCTCCCTAATTGACGCACGGATTGTGCACGAAACAATTGGGGCAGTGAATACTATTGTATAACTAAATAGTACAATAAATATTCGAAAATATACAATACTAAATGATACAATAAATATTAAAGAATATACAAAATACTAAATAATACAATAAATATTACAAAAATATACAATACTAAATAATACGATAAATATTAAAGAATATACAACACTAAATAATACAATAAATATTAAAGAATATACAATACTAAATAATACAATAAATATTCAAAAATATACAATACTAAATAATAACGCGACTAATGTACATATATTCTTTTTACAACAATGTCAAGATTGGATTTATTTAAACTTGATACAGTTTCTGTTACAATATATTCCCCAACAAGGAAATATGCGAGGACAAAAGACAATACATACAGGGTGTCCCAAAAATATCTCACAATCCGAAAATGGCGGGTTCCTCGGATCATTTGAAGCAACTTCTTTCTTTACAAAAATGTTCTCCGAGGCACCGTTAACGAGTTATTAACGAAAAACAGTGACCAATAAGAATCGAATACGGCTGACGCGAGGCGGCCCAGCCAACCAGCGCGCGAAGCCCAGTTCCGCTCATTGGCTCGGTTGCCTCGCGCCAGCCGAGCTCGCCTCTCATTGGTCACTGTTTTTCGTTAATAACTCGTTAACGGTGCCTCGGAGAATATTTTTGTAAAGGAAGAAGTTGCTTCAAATGAACTGAGGAATCCGCCACTTTCGGATTGCGAGACATTTTTGGGACACTCTGTATTGTCTTCTATCCTCGAATATTTCTTGATACTAATTCTGAAACTGGAATTTCTGCACCGATGTCGTCAAGAACAAGGATATATTGAAGTTGCTAAGTAATGATCGATGTTACAGCAGATTGTGAAGCTATAGCAGACCGTTGAAATGCAATATCTTCGTAACGGGACAAAACAAGAACAGGTAGAGCATATGAAAAATTACGCGACATACTGTTAACAAGTACCATTTAACCATTAGCGAAGTCAGCCGTAACGATGGCGAAACGTGTTAACAAGTAACAGTCATTCATTTTTTAGTTTATAACCTTGACATAACCGTGTTCACATAACTGCTACCTTCTCAAAGGACATTTACAGACAGAATCTTTCCTTTGCGCAGTTGCAATAAAATGCATACAGTGAACGGAACTCTCGAACGAATAGAAGTGACAACAAGCTGAACAAATATTTCTCGTTCAGCTAATTTTCGGTCTCTGTAAAAAAAGAAAAAACGATTTCTTGAAGTCGTGATAGAGCAGTCGAAATCTACGTAATTATAGCTTAAAGCTTAATAGCTCTTCATCTTGCGAGATAAAATTTAATTAAATTCAATGCACTGCAATTTCATTTTTAATATACTTAAATATATATAATTATAATAATTAAATAATTAATATAATTAAACTAATAATTAAACGACGGATTTCATATATTTATGAGAAAAATGGAACGATAAAATCGTTCGAATGATTAAAAGAAGAAAAGATTCTTTAGCTCCTGCTTCTTGTAATTACTTGGAACAGTTTTATTGCGGAATGGTGACTGCGATGAGAGATTAAATTCGTCGTGCCATGATTGAAAACAATTTTGATATTACCTAATGTATTGTTGAAAATATTGCTAAATATATCGCTAAAATAATATCGCTAATATTGCTAATATATTGCTAAAATATTAAATATGTTAGCCGCGAGTGCACTCGTTCAAATAATTTCGTTTACAAAATCATTCGAATTGGATGAAATCGCGAAATTATGTTTCACGAAATTATCAAGATAATTATCAAGCGAATAATTATCAAGATAAATTATCAAGAATAGCATCAAATGCTGCGATATTATAGTTAACAACGTATCAAATTATTATTTCTCCCGCGAACTTTAGAATCCCGTAATTTCCACTGGAAATTCAGTTCTCGCAAATTTCACAGGTCCGTTAAGTAAAGATCGTTCCTTAAATATTTAAAAATACTAAAATATAAAATCGTAACAAGATTACACGGATTTAAGAACACATACACATCGTTGTCAAACTATTAAAAAGAAATGCTACAAGAACAAATGCGCTCTGTTCCCAGTAATGAACCCATAAAAGTACGTCGCGCAAAGATGATCCGTGAACAACCAAAGAGATGAACCGAAACTATACCAAATCATCGCTTCCAAAAAAGATCTTCCCAAAATCTATGTAAAATCAAGTAAAAAAAACGACTTCCATTCGATTCAATTCGCAGCAATCTCGCAGACCGCTCGGCTAAAAATCGTCGTCCAACTGTATTTGTTTCCCGGGCGCTCGTTACCAAGGCTACACCGGATCTCCGGATATCAAAACGTCGAATGGATCGGTCGATCCGAAAAATTGTGCCGAAATTTCCCGTTGCAAATCGCATTGCCAATCAATCTCGACAAAATGTCAGTGATCCGCGCCTCGCGCTTTTATCGTCGGCGGTGGCGCGCGGGCCGAAACGGAGCCCGTAACAGCCCCGAAATATATGAAAACGCATGGACGACGGGTACCGTCCGTGTATCCGCTGGCGCGCTCCCGGATCGATTCGCATTTCATAAAATCCCGCGTAGCAGTTTCGTTTCAATCAATAAAGCCGGCCGATATAATGCGCGGCGTCGCGCGCGAAACGAGCGGTGCTGGCGATCGCGCAATCTCCGCGAGCAAACGCGATCCCGACGCGGCCGCCACGGCGTTCACGAGTCAATATTTGGCCGGTTTAACATAACTTCGGTTTTAATCGGCGGGGAGAACGGCCGCGA